AGACGACGACCACGGCACGACACACCCCGAAGCGACGAATGCGGCTAGGAGCTAGCCTCGCGTCACGATTTTGGCACCGACCAATGATTCGGCACTGCCGTCACCGATGCCGCTGAAGCCGCAGCGTCCGCCATGCTTTGGCCCGAGTCAACGGGGTGGTCCTACCTTTCAGGCGTGGTTGTTCGTAATGAACGTATTTTTCGACGCCAACTACGTCTCGGAGGATACGGCGAAGATTCGCTACGCCGTGTCGCTCATGCGAGGACCCGCCATGGACTGGTGGCGCGTCATCGTCACAAAGCTGATGGACTACCCGACTCTACCGACACGGGAAGGACAATCTGGACCCTGGGCGCCGTCGTATTTCACGGAGGTGCCCCAATATCACACGTGGGACGCGTGGTGCGCAGGTCTATGCGCTTGGTTTGAGCCAATTGCGGCTTCGATCGCGGTGCGTCAAAAGCTCCGCACATGACGCCAACTCGGTTCCATCCAAGACTACACCAGCGGGTTTCTGGCGTTGTGCGAGCAGGTAGGCTACATGCATAAATCTGAGCGTATCGACCGCTACATCGGCGGCCTGAAGCATGACATCGCTCAGGAAATCCAGCTCCGCGGCGTCACTGATTTTCAGGAGATCGACTTTTTCCGCCGACCGAGACAGGGGTCCTACGGAAGCAACAGCAACTGGGGACATCGATCTCGTGGGACGAACGAGAGCGCCACGATACGTGTCGTCGCCACGAATGCCGCTGCCGCACCGTTTAAAGGGCGGTGCTTTGCGTGCAATTGGCTGGGACACTTTAAGAGTGAATGCCCAGAAAACGCTAAGGGAAAGGGGGAAGCTGAGCAGCAGAAACAGACCAAGCAGTAGGGAAACATTGGGAGTCAGTAGCAGACGGGCCCTCTACTGACAGGTCACGCCGCTCGCCCGACCCAATCGACCCTCACCGAGTGATTGTGCCGGTTCACACAATCGACCACACCCGGCCGAATAAGGAGGGTACAACGGTAGACAACCCCATACTGCTTAGTGGAAAATTTGGGACAGACTTGATTAAAATATTAGTAGACGAGGGAGCCAGCCACAACCTGATCAACACCACCACAGCACGGAAACTAAGACTGCCACTGGACAGATGTTTACGTGAGATCGACGCAAGACTGGTTGACGGCACGCCACTGGCGATACGGGAACGCATGGACCGAGTTCCGATTCGATGTGGGGGTAATTCACGTTTAGTCAGGAAATGCTCGCGACAACCCTCGACGGAACCGATATTTTACTCGGCCGTAATTGGCTGCGACGACACAATCCGCGAATCGACTGGACGATGGGTGACCGCACAATGCGAGTGAACGGTAACAACATTGCCTTACCTCGCTGGGGCTCTCCTGAGTCTTCGTCGGTGCGTGTCAATGCAATTACCAAGAAACGCGCCATAGCAACAGGAGCTGACGTGTACGCGGTCGACATTCGCGAAGCCGAAGCAGCAGACAAGGGGGGGATTTACAGAAACCGCTAGCCAACGTACCGGAATTGGCAGCGCTTCTGAAGCAGTACAGTAGGATTTGTCTGAATCCTAAGCTAGTTGTGCTTAGGAGCCATGGCTAGAGTGGCTTAGGAGCTTAGGTTTTGGGGTTGAAGAGAGATGTCGAGAGAGTTTAGCAAGAGGAAAAGTGCTTCACTAAGAAAGATGAGTACAAGATATAGCAAGGAGAAGCATGGTGCACCACCTACAGCAAATTGGGATGTGCTACACTCTACACTGCAGACAATTATAAAGAACATATATAAATATAGTTCAACTGGATTTTCCGAGACGACCTGCCAACAGGACTGCCACCTCAGCAACCGCACGACCACGGGATAGAATTAGAACCGGGGGCACAGCTGACAGTGTAGCGACAGTTCCGACTGATCCACCCCGAACTGGACGAACTGAGGAAGCAGCTAGATTACTTGCTCGAGAAGGAGTTCTTTTGCCCAAGTTCGTCACCCTTCGCAGCACCGATACTGTTCACACCAAAAAAGGACGGGGGTTTTTGCATGTGCACCGACTACCGCGCACTGAACAGGGTTACCATCAAGTCCCGTTACCCCATCCTACGAGCCGACGAACTGTTCGACCAACTGCGCACAGCCCAGGTTTTCTCGAAAATTGACCTTCGAGGAGGCTACCACCAGATCCGATTCAACCCACCCAACTGCCCGAACACCGCTTTCCAAACACGCTACAAACCCTTCAGACTGACCAACGCCCCTGCCACTTTTCAAATGACCATGAACGAAGCCTTCTGCCCGCTTTTCGATAAGTGCGTCATCGTGTACCTCGACGACATACTGATTTACAACCCAGACAGAACACAGCACCTATAGGACATCGAAGCAAATTTTAAAATATTTGGTGAGAACCGCCTACTGACGAAAGCATCTAACTGTGAGTCTTTACAGGACAGACTGGAGTTTTGGGGACACATTATTTCAGCTGCAGGAGTGGAAATAGACCCGAAGAAGATCGCGACGATTCAAGCGTGGCAAACGCCAACAAATTTTACCGAGTTGCGAAGCTTTTTGGGGTTCATCAACTACGTGCGCCGGTTTGTCCCCGACATGGCGAAGTTGACTGCTCTGTTGACCGACCTGCTGAGGAAGGGGGTTGAGTACACGTGGGGGGAGAAAGAGCAAGCTGCCTTTTCGGCCCTCAAACAAATTTTGTGCTCTCCGCCCGTGCTTCACATCGCAGATCCGCACCGTCCGTTCAAACTCGTCACCGACGCATGCGACATCGCCGTGGGAGCAGTAGTGTTGCAAGACTTTGGGAACGGCCTCCAGCCAATCGCGTATGAGTCCCACAAGCTTCACCCGCCCGAACGCAACTACCTGATACACGACCGCGAAATGCGGGCGATCGTGCACGCGTTCAAAATGTGGCGATGCTACCTCTCTGGAGAAGACGTGAAAACACCGATCACTGCAGTACCTCCGCGCCCAACCGAATCTCAACCCACGACAGATCCGATGGTTGGACTATCTCAACTCCAACTTCCACAACACCGTCACGTACAAAAAGGCGCATCAAATATCGCCGACGCACTCACACGCCCTACCGCCCAACTCCACGCCATCCTACTCGCCCAGACCAACCCACTATTAACAGGCCTATTCACTCATGGATACAGTCGCGACCCATTTTTCACGACTGGAAATTCGCAGCAGCTGGCAGAAGCTAAAGGAGTCTATTACGTAAAGACAGGCACCAACCGCATTTGGGTACCCGCGTACTCATTACTGAGGGAACTGTTACTGCAGGAGGCACACGACAGCAACTTCGGGGTAGAAAAAGCGTGACAGCAACTGCAGCGGTATTACTACTGGCCGTAGCTGTTGACCGACATACAGCACTACGTGGGCTCGTGTCCTACGTGTCAGGTGATGAAGAGCTCGCGAAAGAGAAAGGCGGGTCAATTGCAGCCGATTGCACCGCCCGAGCGCGCCTGGCAGCAGGTTACCATGGATTTCGTCACGGGGTTACCTTCGAACCCTGGGGATAACGACTCGGTAATGGTTGTCTTTGACAGACTGACGAAGATGGCTCACTTCGCTTCGTGCAAGAAATCGATTCAGCCGAAGAAACCGCTCACCTGTTCATCGCAACCGTCATCTGACTGGACGGAATACCAGCCGCAATAATCAGCGACCGAGACACGAAGTTTACCAGCAACTTCTGGAAGAACCTCTGGGAGCAGTTCGGGACCAGGCTACAGTTCAGTTCATCGTACCACCCCGAGACTGATGGTCGAACGGAGCGGACCAATCAAACAATGGAGCAGTTGATTCGGGCCACGTGCGACGACCCGACAACCTGGGAGCAGCAGCTGCCGCTGATCGAGTTCGCCTACAACAACGCCACGTCAGCGACGACGCAGCAGTCCTTATATTACCTGAACTAGGGCAAAATCCAACTGTGCACATGACGCCGAGTCCGAACAACCCAACGCCACGCGCACAGCAATTCGCCGAGATCCTGCAAGCTGCCCGTACAAGAGCCGCAGAAGCAATTAAAAACCCAACGTCATCGCAAAACGCATCGCTGACCGCCACCGCCGCCCAGTCATGTATCAGTCGTGCCGAAATTACGACCGCGCTACTGTGGACCATTCCAAATCAGCCACAAAATCACCCTAGTTACTGCCCACTTACTGTTGCGGACAGATTGGTACATCAGCCCATCATTCCATGTCAGCCTGCTTCGCCCTTACATCCCAACCACGAGCCAACTGCCTCGTCTCCGCCCGCCATCCATGACTCGCCCTGCATCGGAGCCGATTATCGAGCCCAAAAAAAATCTAAGCCATCGGATTCGACACCCCACAGGCGTCAAGAGGATCGAGTTCCTCGTTCGCTGGAAGGACCGCACGCCAACTGAGGATAGCTGGGTGAGTGCCCCTGGCCAAAATTGAAAACCACCTTGCCCTGCAAGTGTACCTGAGGAGCCGGGGTTTCCGCGATATACACACACTCGCGTAGCGGAGGGGGCTTCTTGAGGGGGGGGGGGGGGGGGGGGGGGGATGGGGTAGTGTAAGGAATTTTCTCGACGTTCCTTACCGTGACCATCAACATGGCGTACAGCAGCAGCTGTTGTTCGCCCATTACCGCTAACGGGGCTTCGCCAACTTCGCGCGCATTGATTCACCAAACCTCGCACTGCTGGAGCAGCCGCGTTGGCCTACACTTCAGGACTAGCCCAAACCTCGCGCCAGCGTAGCACTAGCTAGCTCGCACGCACCGCGTTACCGTTTGCATGTTTCGCCTATAAGTATTCGCTCATGCCTTCGCTCATACTTTGTACTCACTCTAGTGCAATCCTCGCTACCTCGATTCATTGCACCCGTAACACACGCTTAGTTTTCTGCTCTAATGTCTTGTCGTTTGCTGGTTCGAGAAAGCGCCATACCACATATTATCACAAGGACAAGAAAATTACAATGGCAAAAGCTCATAAACCTTCACACCGCTGCGACACCCCTCAGGGGCGGGATGCTCATACACCAGATTCACATGAAAATGCTTCCCCACCATTCGAAAAAACTTGCTATCTTTTTTCCACCGCCTCATGTGAGCAAGCAAAACCACACAGTGCCGACCACTCCCAATACCTCCCCGCCCTTGCCCTTGCCCCTGCTCCTGCCCCTGCCCCTGCCCCTGCCCCTGCCCCTGCCCCTGCCCCTGCCCCTGCCCCTGTCCTTGTCCCTGCCCTTTCCCCTGCCCCTGCCACTGCCCTTGCCCCTGCCCCTGCCCCTGCCCCTGCCCCTGCCCCTGCCCCTGCCCCTGCCCCTGCCCCTGCCCCTGCCCCTGCCCCTGCCCCTGCCCCTGCCCCTGCCCCTGCCCCTGCCCCTGCCCCTGCCCCTGCCCCTTGCCTGCTAGCAGCAGCAGTGTCTTCGCAAGCGGCTCGAAAAGTGTGTCATAGTAAACAATATCCGCGCCCAAAACAACGTCAAACAGCGGCGCAGAAGAATCCAAACTCCGCGCCTCTGAAATCCTCACCTCCGAATCCCGCACCTCCAGGTTCGGCACATTAGTATCCAGCCCATCCGAACCTGGCAACGGTTCGGTGCACCGTTGGCCCGTCCTCCTGTACTCCTTCTCAAGCACTGCTATGTCCTCTGGCTCGCCCCATCGCAACACCCGCACATCCACCCTTTCTCCCTGCACCTCACCATATTCCAGAGCCCCACTATCCACATCACCCGCATCACTAGCACTCCCTCCACCTAAGTTCACCTCCTTGTTCCCCTGCACATTCCCCTGCAGGTTTGGCAGCACATGAGGTAGGTCCGGAACATTCAGCTGCCGTGCCATTTGCTTCGACTCAAACGAACCTGCATTGAGCTGCACGTTTTTCTGCAGGTTCGGCAGCACATGGGGTAGGTCTGTAAGAACCACTTGCTTCGCTCCTAGTACTGCTGCCATCATACCAGCCAGACCCGTCCCTGCACCCAGCTCCACCACTCTCAACCCCTGCAGACTGCACTCTCCCTGATTTTCCTGCCTCTGCTTCTGAATCTGCTGCAGCAGCGGTGAAAGGAACTTGGGTTCTGTGTTGGTCCGCTGATCGTGCTTGTGCTGCTGATAGCGGCCTTTCTTGCTACCTGCGTTTTGTTCACTCTGCTGCTTCTCCCCCTCCCCCTCCTGTAAGTGAGGCTCCTCTGTCCCTGTCTCTGTATCTGCCTCCTCCCCCACCTCCTTATCATGCTGCTGCTGTTCCTGCTTCTGCTCCCGCTGCTGCTGCTCCGGCTGTTGCTGCTTCTGCTCGTTCTGGTCCTGTTGCTGCTCCTGCGGCTGCCGCTCTTGCTGTTGCTGCTTCTGCTGCTCTTGTTGATGCTGTGCAAAAGGGGGTTGACTAGCGCAGGGTCCGAAGGAAGCTTCCAGGAAGTGGCAGAGCGCTTCAGCAGCAGGCCAGAGCTGGAAGGAGAGGCCTTGGGAGGGCACCTGGCGCACGAGGAGAGGGGGGATAGAGCTGCAGGGGAAAGGGCAAAGGGAACAGAAGAGGAAGGATGGGAAGTTGAGAAAGGACGAGGGGTACGCAGCAGAAAAACAGAGCTGGAAGGAGAGCTCTTGGGAGGGCACCTGGCACACGAGGAGAGGGGGGAAAGAGCTGCAGGGGAGAGGGAGGGAAGGCAGGGGAAGAGACGGAAAGAAAAGGTAGCGAAGGGAAGAGGGGCATGCAGTGCGAGTCAGGTGGAAGGAGAAACCCTGGGAAGGGGGACCTGGCGCACGAGGAGAGGGGGGACCTGGCGCACGAGGAGAGGGGGTACCTGGCGCACGAGGAGAGGGGGTACCTGGTGGTCATCAGGTTTAGGGTTTCAAAGCGGGGTTGACGGACGGAATTCATGTTGGACAGAGATCCTTCAGATAAGACAGAATCTGGTTTATTCTATATTAAGAGGATTTAGCGTGGTTCAAGGGTTTGAGTGGGGTTCAAAGGTTTTGATGGGTTTCAAGGGTTCAAGCAGGGTTCCAGGATTAAGGGTTCAAGTAGAGTTGAAGGGTTCAACGGGTTTGAGTGATGATAGCGTTTGTATCCACCTGTTCAGGAACCCTAAACCCCTGGGCTAGCAGCCCAGCCTTCCCACATGTTCATGGCATGGTCTAGTTGTCTAGTTCGTCGTACCTGTTCAAGGGCTGGTAACCCACATGCACCACACCTCCGCGCATTCCCCCTTCCCCCTCCCCATCCCCTCCTCCCCGTTCCTCCTCCCCGCTCCCGTCTCCGTTCTCCCTTCCTTCCTCCCCGCGCCCTGACAGCGCCTCCCCGTGAACCCTCTCCCTGCCTACCGCCATCTCCCCCCCCCTCCGCCGCCCATCCCCGCCGCCGTCGCGCAAGGCGCTCGGCGGAGGCGCGACAGGGCCCACGCCCGCTCCGCCGCCCCTCGCGTTCCGCCGCCCGCGTCCCTCCTTCGAGCCCTCCGCGCCTTCCGCGGCCTTCGCGCCCCGCGAATCCTCTCCATCTTCCGCGGAGCTCTCGTCCTCCCCCTCGTCCCCCAGGCCTATCCTCCCCAGAGGCCCCATTAATCCCCCCGCGCCTTCCCCCTCCTCGTCACTCGACTCGCTTCCGCCGCACGCCCGCGGATCCGCCGCTTGCGCCATGCCCACGCACACCCCGTCGGCGCAGACTCGGCCCTTTGAGGCGCCTTAAATGCCAGCGAACGCCCAGTCCGCGCACGCTTGGTGGGCGCACACCCTGTTCGCGCAAACCCCGTCCGCGCAAACTCGTTCCGCGCACTCCCCTTCCGCGAAAAGCGGTTTGGCGGGAACTGCCCCCGCTCCGCTGCCGCAGCGACCTTTTCCGCCTGCGCGCGCGTGTCAGCTTCAACTAGAAATCCCTGCTTTTCGCTTCGCGCTATGATGACCCTCGCATGACAGATGAGCATGTGCAGAGGCAGACTACTTGTTATGTGAGAAAGAGCTGTATCTCTCAACGAAATCGGGGGTGACGCTCCGTTTTGCCCGGGGTGACGCTCGGGGGTGACGCTTTCGGGAGCTTCACCCTGACCCGGGCAGAAAAAAACTAAACCCCAAAGCAACCGGCATGCCATTCGGGAGCCTAAACCCTAAAATTTTTGCGTTGAGGCTCCGGAATGGCATGCCATCCGCCTGGGGTTTAGTTTTTTTGCTCCGGGCAGTTTGTCGTTTTATGGTTTCCTCTTTGTCGTTTCCTCTCATACTAGGCTGTTCGCTAGCAAATCTACATTTGAACAGAAAAAGATGGCATCGGCATCGCGACCGCATCTGGAAACGAAGGCGGAACCCTCCTCCGAGGTTTGGGCGTAATGCCGCCCGTGAAACTTCTCACGCCGGAAAGGCGAAATTACGCAACCGCATCGGGAACCTCCGTCCCCACCTTCCCCTGAATGACGCGAAACTTGAGCCTTATTGACCCTTGTGCTGCCCGATGACCAAAAATGGCTCGACGTGGGTAAAAAACGCAAAAAAAAACCCAACCATGTGAGTGCTTACGGAGTTGACTGTCGATTTCGACCAAGTCATGTGCGGGGGGCACATCGAATGTATGTTTGGGAGTGGAAAAATGGGGGGTATTCGAACCCCCCTTTGTCAACAAATGGCTCGTTCAGAGGTTCCCCTCTGAACGGCAATGCGACGGCTGTGCCATCGCTGTGTTTTGAAAAACGGGGCATGGCGATGGCATGGCTTGGGGATGGAATTTTGCCTGGGGACGAAGTTGCGTCCCCGCTTCCATATGACGTCTGCTGTTCGATTTGGTGGACAAATGGGGGCGTTCGCCAGACACCCACTTTGATTGTTGGTTTAGACGGTAGGGGAGGCTCGGCACCTTTTTTACGGGCTGACCAGGCTGACGGCGGTAAACGAACCCTAACTGACGAGATCAGGAAGGCGAGACCCACCTTCCTGATCCCGTCGTTATCCCGTGGTTTTTTGCTTCACAGGTGCTGGCGAACAGCACCTTTGAGTGGTCTTGCTCCTCCTTGGGTGTTTCCACTGTCTGCCTTATCCTAATAGCCTCTCTTTCCTTTTTATTGCAGAATCCTCTCTATAATCAGGCTGCATCAGTACAAGAGCCTAGCAATCATCATAGTCTCTGATAGTGGGAATCTCAGACTGACGAGAATCAATTACAAAACAAACAAGAGAGAGAGAGAGAGAATAAACACTCACACACACATACACACACATACGCATACATACGCACGCATACATGCATGCACACACACGCACACACATACATACACACACACACATGCATACGCACGCGCGCGCACACGCGCACGCACGCGTACGCGCGCGCGCACATGCACATACACACACACACATACACACAGAAGGTTGGAGGATGGGTGATTTAATACTAGGCTTAGGACCAAAAATTGAATGCCAACCTTTTATCATGCCCTTCAAAGTAACCTCAAATTCGTTCTTTTGTGCCGAATATCATTCTTTCGCAGCCACATGCTCCTTCCGCCACTCTAGTCTTGGTAGGTGTACTTCATCCCCCCTTTAGTCCTTCCCTCTTGTTACAATCCCAAGTGGAACTTAGCGAAGGATCGCTCAGGGTTGATCGCAGAGTAGTGATGCAGCGGAAGTTTGAATCTCAGGTCAGAGTGAATGTAAATGACTGAGTTGATAATAGCATGCATACATCAGGTTTATATAAGAATACAGGGGAATACGAAAATACTTAGACTAGCCATGTACTGTAAGGGGTACATTCCCTTATTGCAGTGAAATTCAAACCGTGCGGCGCGGGAACCTGTTTCAAACCTGTTCCCGCTCTTTTCACTTCAAATGCTTCTGCCTGCATCGGTCTTGGTCAGACGGTTGCTGCGTCGCTTCGACTCTTCTGACTCCTCGTCTTCGTACTCTATAGAGTCGGCTCCTGCAGCATACAGGAATGCCTTCTCATATGAAATCATAGCGTAACACTCCCCTTCATTCCTGGGCGCGGGAAGAGCTGACTCGCTTGACTACCCCGGTGAGGTCCGAGCAGTGCTTGTACTGCTGACGTGGCAGTCGTTTGGTGAGGAAGTCTGCTGCCATCTCGGTGGTTGGGCAGTACGCGAGGTCAACCTTTCCCTGATCGATTTCGTCCTTGACGAAAAAATACCGAAGCGCGATGTGCTTCGTGCGGTTCACAAAGCCTGGCTTGTTCGCGATTCTGATGGCACTCTGGTTGTCGCAGTGAAGGCGAAAAGTGGGCAAAGTTGGAATCTTCGCCTCCTGTAACAGTTCCTGCAGGTACAGGCCTTCGCGAACTGCTGCTGTCGTGGCGATGTATTCTACTTCAGCCGATGACAGGGCAACCAGCTCCTGCTTCTGTGAGTTCCAGGAGATTGGTCCAGTTGGTTCTAGGCGAAAAACAAAGCCAGTTCGGGACTGACGATTCGCAGGATCAGCTGCATGGTCTGCGTCCACGTAGCCGTTGAGGTTGAAGGAGATCGTCGTCAGCGTGGAATAGGAGAGCCCGATGTCAGGTGTGGAGATGAAGTACTGCAGGGCGCGCTCCAGGTCCAGCTGGTTCTCAGCTACTGGCTTGCGTGAATACTGCGCCAGTTGGCTGGCAATGTACGAGAGGTCGGGTCGGCAGGTGACAGATACGAACAGCAGACAACCCAGTTGCTGCTGGTACAGTTGCAGTCCCGCAGGGGACAAAGGTTTGTTGTCCGGTTTGTAGTTGGAGCTGGGGTTGTGATAGGGAGTGGAGAGTGGTGCGGTTGAGATGTTGAAGCATTCTCCCAATTGCTCTGCGTACTTGGAGGCTGACAGATGAACTGCTTCTGGCGTGTAGGTGATGTTCAGCCCCAAAAACCGCTTCACGTTGTGGTTGATGGTGATGTCAACGCGCTGCGCCAGGTTCTCCTCAAACTGGTTGAGCAGCTTGTTGCAGCTGCCTGTGTACAGCAGGTCGTCAACGTAGACTATCAGGAGGATGTAATCACCGCTGAAGTGAAGGCGATACATTCCCGGGTCGTGCGGTAGCTGTCTGAAGCCGATCTCGAGGAGAATTTTGTGCAGATGCTGCTGCAAGAGGCGAGGCACTTGTTTTATCCCGTACATGGATTTCTTAAGCTGACAGACCCTGGGGTCTCTTTCCTCGTAGGTGTGAGGTTGTTCTACGAAGATGGTTGCGTCCACTAACGCGTATAAGACGAGTTCTTCACGTCGATCTGTCGCAGTGGCAGATGATTGGTGGCCGCAATGACGGAGGTGTGACGGCTAACGGGAGCGAAGGTTTGGTCGAAGTCGATACCGTGGTGCTGATCGTACCCGCGTACGACCCAGCGTGCTTTGAAGCGCTCAATAGTTTCGTCAGCGTTGGTCTTCAGGCGAAAAAAACTCATTTTCTGTTGAGCACCCTTCTCCCCTTCACTGCTGCATGATCGACGAGGACCCATGTGTCTCGAGATTACAGCGCCTTTAACTCCGCATCAATGGCGGCATGCCACTCTTTTGTGTGAGGGCAGGTGAGAGCCTGGTGCGGGTTTTTGGGTTCGACGGCGCGCGCGACGGTAGTGACGGAAGTGTGTAGGCCGAGAAGCTGCAAGCCGGACACATAAGCAGTGTCTGTGGCAGTGGTGGGGACTTCCACCACGTCGTCGTCGCTGCTCTCGTAGCCGAGCGAGGCGGTACTTGGTTCAGCTTGGCGCCGTGACGGCCCTGGCGCGGGACCATCGTCGCTATCATCGTCATCGTCGTCGTTGCGTGAGTGAGGCGGGACGCTTGGGTGTTCGTCGGTCTCATCGCGGTCTAGTGCCACTGCTGCCGCTTCGTCTTCTGGAGATGCGAAGCTGTGACCGCTATTGACGTAGCCGCGTGCCTCGTTGCGACGTTCGTCCTCGATCCAATGCTTCAAGGTGAGCCGCTCGTAGAAGAGAATGTCACGCGCGGGAACGACCTCCTTGCTGTCGATGTCAAGAATGAGCCAACCTTTGTGCTTGTTGCTGAGACCCAGATGAATTCCCCAGCGTGCGCGATGAACAAACTTGCCGATTATGGCTGAGGTTGGCCAATCTTGCACCATGCACCCCCAAACCCTCAGCATGGAGGGATCTCCCCTTGAGCCGGTCCACTTCATGTGGGGAGAAAGATTGTCCCTGTTGACGGTGGTGGAGAGGAGGTTGTGCAGGCGTACCGCATGGTTCATGGCGTAGGGCCAAAACTTCTTAGGTAGGCTGGACTGATTCATGAGGGCGCGCACTTTCGTCATGAGGGTCCGGTTAACCCTCTCTGCGACGCCTTGCTGCTGGTGAGCGTAGGGGAGAGAAATCTCATGCTTAATCTCCTTCTCGGCGAGAACGCTCTCTAGTTCGTTGCTGCGAAATTCCTTGGCCCCGTCACTCTGCTAGATTTTCAGCTTCCTCCATGATTGTCGTTGCGCGTGTGCGAGCCAGATGCGAAAGACTTCTGGAGCCTTGGAGCGGGCGTCGACGTTGGCGATGGCGTGAGTAGGCGTCGATGAAGTTGAGCGTGTATTTTTCACCGTTGATGCCGTCGAAGGTGAGCACGATGAAGTCGATGTACACTTTCTCCAGCTTCTTGTAGCGGTTGGTACTAGGTTCCAGAGAGGGGTAGGCGCTGTGGGAGAGTGCAGCTGTGGGGCGGATGGTGCAGGT